TAATAAAATAAAAAAAAAAGAAAAGAAAAATCCTTGCCGCTGGACTGGTAGGAAACATCATGATAGATGGAGAAAAGATTGATACTGTCAACTACTCCATCTTTCTTGGATGCATAATCAATATCCTTGGTACCAGCATTCAGGAGATTAGGAAACATATTGCACTGGAAAATTCTGCAGTCAAGGACCTCTCCAAATTATTGAGGAGTGATGATGTCGGTTTGAATACTAAGGTGTGCCTGATTCCAGCCATCATCTTTTCAATCACTTGCTATGCACTTGACAGCTCAACAATGAATAAGGATGACAGAAGAAGAACTGTTGTGTTTGAACTTTGACATTGGAGAAGACTTCTGACTATCCCATGGAATGCGAAAGCACAAACAAATATGTTCTGGGAAAGGTGTAGCCAAAGGCAAAGATAACAAAGATTCATCTCACATACTTTGGGCATGTTGCTAGGAAAGACTCTCCTTTAGAGAGGGGCATCATGCTCGAAAAGGTGACAGCAAAGAAGAGGAAGACTCTACAACAGGTGGATTGACACAGTGACTGTAGTCTTGAGTATGTCAGAGATTGTGAAGATGGCATGGATAGGACAGAGTTCAGATCTGTTATTCATAAGGTTGCTATGAGTCATACTTGATTTGATGGCACCTAGTCATGATAGACGGAGAACAGACTGAGGTTGTTAACAATTTCAGCTTGCTCCATAGTGAACATTCTTGGCACCATCAGTCAGGAAATCAAAGACTAATTACACTGGGAAAATCTGCAGTCAGGGACTTCTCTTGTGGTCTTTGCAGTTACTTGCTATGCATCAGAGAGCTGGACAATGACTAAGAATGACAGAAGAATTATTGATGTCTTTGAGTTGTGGTGCCGGAGAAGAGTATAGAATATATCATGGACTGCCAAAAGGACAAACAGGTCTCTCTTGGAGTGGGTGAAACCAAGTTTCTCCTTGGATGCTAGGATTTTTAAGTTCCATCTCACATATTTTGGACATGTGGCCAGAAGGCACCAGTCCTTGGAGAAAAACATCATGCTCAGAAGGGTGGAAGGACAGTGCAGGAGAGGGAGACCCTAGATGAGACGGATTGACAGAATAACTTGGGTGATTGGGATAGTTGTGTCAAAGTCAATGAGACTGGCTCATGATAGGGCAGGCTTCAGAGCTATTGTACATAGGGTCGCTATGAGTCATAGGTGGCTCAATGGTACATAACAACAAAAACTAGCAATTTAGGAGACTGCTTAATAACCCCAAGCAACCATCAGCAACACTGGGTATTTATTATTACTTCTTCTGGGGACGGCCGGATGTTTGGTTGTGTTGTGTTTTTTTTTTTAAAGGAAACAGCTTTTTATTATTTTTTATTATTTTGTGTGTGTGTGTTGTGTGTACCGTCAAATCAGATCTGACTGGTACAGGAAGAGATTGTTCCTCCTTCTCGAGCAGAGCATCGGTGGATTTGAACCATGCACCTCTGGGATTGCAGTACACCTTCTTGCTACTAGGCCACCAAAGCTCGCCGGATGTTTGGTTTTATAATCTTATTAGGAAGTAATTATATGTGCATTCCTCTGATTACTAGCATATGTGAAAGTATATAAAATCCTCTCAGGAACAGGTTTGAGGCCTTGAGCACCAATGAGCGTAGATCAAATGATCTCTGGGAGGATATCAAGAAAATAATCTATGAAGAATGCAAAAGATCATTACAAAGGCTGAAGAAGAAGAAAGGACCAAAACGGATGTCAGATGAGACTCTGAGTATTGCATTAGAGCACCGAGAAGCCAAACTAAAGGAAGATACCAAGAAATCAAAGAGCTGAACAGAAAATTTAAAAAGGCAGCTCAGAACAACAAAGCAAGATACTATAATGAAATGTACAGAGAGCTGGAGTCAAACTCAGAAGGGCTAAATTCACTCACTGTTTCTTAAGCTGAAGGAGTTGAAAAACTAATTCAAGCCATGGGTGGCAATACTTAAAGATACTTTGGGTAGAATGTTAAATGATCCAGGAAGCATTAAAAAAGATGGAAGGAGTACACAGAGTCACTGTATCAGAAGGAATTGTCTGACATAGAAGAATTTCATGAAATAACATATGAGCAAGAGCCTGTGGTGATGAAGGAGGAAGTTCAAGTTGCTCTGAAGGAATTGGCAAAAAACAAGGCTCCAGGAGTTGACAGCATACCGGTTGATACATTTCAACAAACAGACACAGCCCTGGATGTGCTAAGTTGTGCCAAAAAAATCTGGAGGACAGCCAGCTGGTCAACTGACTGGAAAAGATCTATATTTGTTCCCATTCAAAAGAAAGGTGACCCAACAGAGTACAGAAATTATTGAACAATATCATTACTATCACCTACAAGCAAGATTCTGCAGAAAATTACCTAAAAACGATTGGAGCAATAGGTCAAGAAAGAACTGCCAGATGTGCAGGCTGGATTTAGAAGAGGTCGTGGTACTAGGGATATTATAGCTAATGTTAGATGGATCTTGGCAGAAATTGGAGAATACCAGAGGAATGTCTATCTGTGCTTCATTGACTATGCAAAGGCTTTTGACTGTGTGGATCACAACAAGCTATGGATGACTGAGAAGAATGGGAATCCCAGAACGTTTGTGCTAATGCGAAACCTATACGTGGATCAAGAGGCAGTCATCAGAACAGAGCAAGGAGACACTACATGGTTCAAAATCAAGAAGGGGGTCCATCAGGGATGTATTCTGTCTCCATACCTTTTCAATCTGTATGCAGAATAGATCATCCGAGATGCTAGGCTGTACGAGGAGGAATGTGGCATCAGGATTGGTGGAAGAGTCATCAACAACCTGCGGTATGCAGATGACACAACTCTGCTTGCTGAAACTGAGGAGGACCTGAAGCACTTGCTGCAGAAGGTCAAGGACTGCAACCTTCAATATAAATTGAAGCTCAACATCAAGAAGACAAAGATTCTCACCACTGGGCCAATTGGCAGCATCAGTATAGATGGTGAAGAAATTGACATAGTTAACAGTTTTAGTTTACTTGGCTCCACAGTCAACACTCTTGGTACCAGCAGCCAGGAAATCAAGAGATGAATTGAACTGAGAAAGTCACCTGTAAGGGACCTCTCAAGAGGACTGAAGAGCAATGACATCAGGCTGGAGACTAAGGTGTGCCTGATCCAGGCTATAGACTTCGCAATTATGTGCTATGCATTGGAGAGTTGGACAATGACTAGGGATGATAGAGAACTAATGCCTTTGAGCTGTGGTGCTGGAGAAGAGTGTTGAATATAGATAGCATGGACTGCTAGGAGAACAAACAGGTTTGTCCTGGAAAGGGTGAAGCCGGGCTAATCCTTGGAGTGAAGGATTTTGAAGCTTCTTCTGACATACTTTGGGCATGTTGCAAGGAGGGATTGGTTCTTGGAGAGGGACATCATGTTTGGAGGAGTGGAGGGACGGGTCAGAAGAGGAAGACCCTTGATGAGATGGATCGATTCGTGACTAGGGTGGTGGGAATGAGTGTGTTGGAGATGGAGAGGTTGGCACAGGATAGAGCAGTGTTTAGGACTCTTGTGCATAGGGTCTCAATGAGTCGCAAGCGACTCTACGGCACATAACAACAAAACACAAAGCACACCGCCCTGGAGTTGGATCTAACTCATGCCACCCTCCACTACTTTGCATAGTACCTGGTAGATACAAACTGTAGACCTTTCAATTACAATCCATATATGTAATACACTATGCCACCAGTGTTCTGTCTGTACATATGTGTACATTTATGTGTGCCTGTACTAAATTGTATATGCCTGTTGTTACAAAACTTTTAAGCTAGACTGCAACTAGAAGGTCTTCATGAGAAGAGCATCTGGTTGGCATCTGGTCTATATATACATGGAGATTGTAATGATAACTAGAGTCCTGTTATGTCAGCCTATCCTGTAAAGATGTAAGTGACTCAGAGACTAGGAAAGAAAGAGGAGTCGAGCAGGCAACCCAATGGCAATTTAACCTTGGTTTGTGTTTAAGAAATTGGTAACTTGGAAGTCTTTTAGAAGCAGGCCTAAGCAGACTATTCAAAGAATTGAGAAGAGTAAACTGGGCTATACCTAGCTCTCATCATTGAATATTTTAACTGAAGATTCTATAGAAGTTGTTGTGTGCCATCGAGATGAGTATGACTCAGCGATTCTATGAACAGAAAATTTGAACCCTGTCCTAGCCTGTGCCACCCTCATCATTGCTAACACTCCTGAACCCATTGCTGCAGTCACTGTGGAAGCCCATCTGGTGTAAAGTGTTCCTCTCTGTCCCCGACCACCCACTTTCCCAAGCATGATGTTCCTCTCCAAGGAATAGCCTCACCTAGCAACATGCTGAAAGTATGTGAGACAAAACTTTGTCATCCATGTATTAAAGGAGAAATCTGGCCTTACTTTCTCCAAGATGTATGTTTGTTCTTTTCGCAGTCCATAGGATATTTAGCACTCTTCTCCAGCACCACAGCTCACATGCATCCAGTCCTCTTCTGTCATCTTGATTCGTTGTCCGGCTTTCAGATGCATTGCAAGTGATTGAAAAGACCATGGCCTGAGTCGGGCACACTGTAGTTTTAAAACTTGCATCGTTGCTCTTTAGTAATTTTCAGAGGTCCCTAATAGCAGACTTTCCCAATGCAATACATCTCCTGATCTCCTGATTGATAAAAAACTGCACTGAAATCACAGAGGCACACAGTTCAAATCTGCCAGTTACTCTGCGGGGGAAGGATAAGCCATTTCCTCCTGTGCACTTTTAAAACCCACTGAAACTGTGAGTCAGTTCCAACTCAACAGAACACAGTAGTAACAGGCAGCAGGAGGTCCATAGAAGTCTTGATTAAAAGGAAAAAATGCATAACAGAATTTTAATATTCTTGGAATTGATACGAAATGGAACTGCTGAAGATGGATGAACCCCCAAAATTATCACCCTAAAATAATTAAACCTTAAAGCAAAAGTATGCACTGAAATCTTTTAACCAAACAGTAGTTTAGCTTAATGTGAAAAATTCAAACTTATTTCTGTCAAATCAGAACTGACGGCCAGGGCTGTAAATCACACAGAGGAGATGGCCTGTCTTTCTCCCATCAAGCCTCTGTTGATTTGAACCACTAGAGAGGCGTTTATGAGTTAGCAGCACAACTCCCTGCACACTGGGCCGTGAGTGCTCTCTCATTGCTTAATTAGTGAAATGCCATTTGTTCTGTGCATCACAGTAATTATTTATCTCTCTTAAAGATTAGAGTCCAAAAACTTGTTGCAGCTACATGGAATATTTTTCAACCTCTTCTTTTTGGCTTGGTTGGATCAGAAGTATCTGTTTCAAATCTTCCATCACAAGCTATTGGTAAGAATAATCTAAGGAATAAAAACTTTAAGATGTAAAAACCCATAGAAAAGCAATGTTGTTAGGTGCTGTCAAGTTGAGTATAAACCATAGTGACCCTAATGATCTGAACCCTGTCCTATCCTGTGCCATCCTTGCATTTCCTAACATACTAGAGTCCATAGCGGCAGTCATGGTGTCAGTCCACCTGGTTGAGAATCTTCCTCTCCTTCGCCAGCTCTCTGCCTTTTCAAGCATCATGTCTCTCTCCAAGGAATAGCCCCTCATAAGAAAATGCCAACAATATGTAAGATGAATCTTGATAACATCTTTGCCTCCAAAGAGCTCTCTGTCTGCACTTTAAAAAAACAATTCATTATTCTTATTTACAATATATCTTTCACACCATTCTTGATCTGGGGAAATAGAGATAAGATTTCTTCTCTATTATGAAATTAGATAGTATCAACACTTTTTTATCACCACCTTTTGAAGATTGTCATTTATATTAGAAACTTTTGAGTTTTTCAATCCAGATTTGACTATCATATGGCTTATACTCCATGGAATCCCCACTAAGAGATAATCTCAATCATCCTAATTATTTTTATAATTCTTTTTACAAAGACCATATTGTACTCTTAAAGTACTTTCAGAAATAGTATTATCCAGATCCATAGACCATTTTCCCAAATAGTTTGTTACTTACATTTTTTTTAATCTATTTTAGGTATTGGTGTTGCTACCTTGAGTTTAGCACTGATGGTGCGACTTTTTGTCACGTTTTTATTGATGTGTTTTGCTGGTTTTAATTTTAAGGAAAAATTATTTATTGCTTTAGCATGGATGCCCAAAGCTACAGTTCAGGTAAGACTGTATTAAATAACTAATAATTTTCATTTTAGTGATATATTTTTAATACTAAAAGAAAATCAGAAACATTTTTGTGACTTAGTGGTAAGAAATTGTGTTGCCAATCCAGGGGTATAATGTTTTCATCCACTAGCATCTCAGCAGGATAAAGATGGGCACTCTATTCCCCTGTGATTTACTATTTAGGACTACCCAGTGGAGGGTCAGTTGGTTCCAACTTGACAGTATACAATAACAAAGAAAAATGTTACTTCAACCACAAAATGTAGGTTCTTACTTTTAAAATATCACTTTCTACTGCCAAAGGGGCCCTTTAGAGTAGTGAGAGAAGACCTTCACCCTGAAACCCACAGCGTCCCTTTTCAGCAGGAAGTAGCTAAGAGAATACGCCATCCCCTTTTCCTTATGAATCTGGGTGAAGTCTCTCTCAGGGAGGAGTGATAGGGAATGGCAAGGGACACACTGACAAAGGAGATTAATCAGAACTGGCTTTGACAAGCACTGTGGCAATTGGACAATTAAAACAGACATGGGGGAGGGGAAGAAGAACGAACTGGGGATGAGGGTGGAGAAAACAGTGCAACAATGAATGAATGAAAACCCAAAATCTCTGTAAATGTTCATTAAAACTAATAAAATTTAAAAAAATAAAATATCACTTTGGTCATAACTACTAATTAAAAGTAAGGACCTTTTAAAATCTTAATTTTGAAAGAATTTTTTTCTAAAACTGAAATGTGTAATTTAAATAGCAAATACAGTAGATTCTCATTATTTATGGATTCCACTTTTGCAAATGGCTTTCTTGGTGGAATTTCTTTTTAATCCCAAAAGCAACTAGCAATTCTCTGTTCCTCACGTAATTTTTCAATTCAGATGATAAAGACTTAGGTCAAATTTTGGTTCTTATGGACTTGATTTCATTTTCTTTAGCTTTACTTTGAACTTGCATATCAGTAGTATGCACACATATATTGTTACTATTTAAGCATCTCAAAATATTTGAGGCTTTACTTGGACTCAAGAGTTCATCAGCTATACCAATCTTAACTTCTCTCATAGCTTGATATGGTTCCTATGTATATCCCAGTCTTATCTTTTAATACTTATCAACAATTATCAAACACTCATGATAACATCAATAGAGAAATCAAACAATGTATTGCATTGGGAAAATGTTCTGTCAAAGACCTCTCCAAAATGCTAAAGAGCAATGCCAGTTTAAAGACTGAGGTAGATCTAAGCCATGTTTTTCATAATTGCTTCGTATGCATTTCAAAGTTGGATTGTGAACAAAGATGACAGAAAAGGAATTGATGTCATTGAATTGTGGTGGTGGAAAAGAATGCTGAATGAGTCCATGAGGTGTCATGGACTGCCAAAAATAAAAACAAATATATCGTGAGGAATTACAACTAGGGCACTCCTTTGGAGAAAAGATAGTGAAACTTGGTCTCAAATATTTTGAGCGTGTTGTCAGGAGGGACCAGTCTTTGGAAAAAGACACATCTGAGCAAGGGGGAGGATCTGGGAAAGAGAAGATACCCTCAACAAGATAGATTGACACAGTGGCTCTAACAATGGGCTGAGCATTATAAGAGATGGGAGAGGATGGAGCAGGATAGGGCAGGTTTCAGATCTCTTGTTTATAGGGTCACTTTGAATCATAATAAATTGGTTGGCACCTATAAGCAACATTATCATTAATGTCACTATAAATATTGTTGAATAAAAAAAATGACTGGTCTTGTATATTGACAGGAAACTGCCACAAATTCAAGTTGAAGTAAAAAAAGTTGTGTTTTTTTAAAAAAAAATTATTTTATATTGGTTTGCTCATAAAGTTCATATACATCATTGTAGTTCATACTTTCCTTCAAATAAGTTCTTGAATGAGCAATATCATACTGATATTAGATGGATTTGGGTAAAGAGAGAAAATACCAAATGATATTTATTTATATTTTATTGAATGTCCAAATGCACTTTACTTTGTGGACCATATAGTAAATGGTAACTAACATTGAAAAGACCGGGGATTCTGGAGCATTTAGCTGTGCTTGTGCAGAATCTGTACATAGACCAAGAAACAGTTACTCAAACAAAAGGAAACGCTGCATGGTTTTAAATCATGAAAAGTATGCATCAGGGTTGTATCTTTTCATCAGACCTATTCAATATGTGTTCTGAGAAAATTATCTGAGAAGCTGGACTATATAAAGAATTGGGGCATTATGATTGGAGAAAGACTCATTAACAATCTGTGATGTGTGGATGACACAATTTTACTTGTAGAGAACAGACTTGAATGTAGCACTTATTGAGGAATCTTAAATACTATGGCCTTCATTGTGGATTACATGTCAACAAAAAACAAAAATCCTTACTAATGAACATTATGATAAGTGGAGAAAAGACTGGAGTTTTCAAAGGGTTTCATTTTTCTAGCTCTATGATCAACATTGTTGGAAACAGCAGTCAATAAATCAAATGTCATCTTGCAACTGGCAAAACTGCTTGTCAAAGATCTCTTTAAAGTGCTAAGGAACAAAAATGTCCCTTAAAATATCAAGATTTTCATGTCTTAAGCCATGAGACATGTACTACATGTGCATATAAAATAAGGAAGACTGAAAAAGAATTTATGCCATTGATTTGTGGTTTTGTTGAAGGTTATTGAATATATTATTAACAACCTCTGGTGGCCTAGTGGCAAGAAGCTGCACTGCAATCCTGAAGGCACACTGTTCAAGGCCACCAGCTGCTCCGCTGGAGAAGGATGGGCAATCTCCTCTCATGTGATTAACTACCTCTGAAAACCCACTGGAGGGTCAACTATGGATAGGTTCTGGCTCTACAGTACATAACAACAACAACATGAACTACCTACAGGAGCTCTGGTGGCCCAGTGGTAAGAAGCTGCGCTGCAACCCCAAAGGCATCCAATTCAAATCCACAAGTTCCTCTGCAGGAGAAGGATGTATAATCTCCTCCTATGCTATTAAGGTTCCTCCTTTGCCTCTGAAAATCCACTGAAGGGTCAGCTATGAGTCAGTTCCAACTTGATGGCAAACAACACAAACAACATAAGAACCTAAAAGAACAATCACTTTAGGCTTGAGAGAAGTAAATCAGGTGATCCTTAGAGATAAGGATGGTGAGGCTTCATCTCATATACTTATCAGAAAGGTCCAAAAATGAAAAAGGATATAATTATTGAAAAAATAGAGGATTAGCCAAAAGAAGAGAAGCTGTGTGAAAAAATCTTGACTGGCCCAGGAAGCATCAAAAGAAGATGGAGCGAATACATGGAGTCATTGTACAACACATAATTAGATATGAAATAAATTCAGGAAGTAGCATATGATAAATAGCCAAGGTAGATGAGGAAGTAGTTCAAGCTGTATTGAAGGCATTGGCAAAGAATAAGACCCCAAGAATCAATGGAATAACAACTGACAATTTTCAACTAACAGGTGCTGTCCTGGAAGTGCTTACCTCTTTGTGCCAGGAAATTTGGAAGACAGCTACCTAGCCAACAGACTGGAAGATATCCATATCTATTCTTATTCCCAAATAAGGTGATCTCACAGAATGTAGATACCATCAAACTATCACTAATACCAAATGCAAGCAAAAATATTGCTGAAGATCATCCATAAATGGCTAGAACAGTACACTGACAGAACTGCCAAAAGTTCAAGCAGGATTTAGAAGAGGCTGTGGCACCAGGAATATCATTGCTGGTGTCAGATCGATCCTGGCTAAAAGCAGAAAATACCACAAGAATATCTAGTTGCATTTTATTGACTATTCAAAGCCATTTGACTATGTGGATCATAACAAACTATGGCTAACATTGAGAAGAATGGGAATCACATAGCACTTAAGCATGCTCATATGAAATTTATGCCTAGACCAAGAAGCTGTTGTCCAAATACAGCAAGGGAATGGTATAAAATCAAGAAAAGACTGTGTCAGGATTTTATCCTTTCTCCATACCTATTCAGTCTGAATACTAAGCAAATCATTTAAGAAGCTGGACTCTATGAAGAACAACATGGCAACAGGATTGAAAGAAGACTTATTAACAACCTGCATTATACAGAAGACAGAACTTTGCTTGCTGAAAGCACAGAGGATTTGAGATATTTGCTGCACAGGATCAAAGACTGCAGCCTTCATTATGGATTATATCTCAACATCAGGAAAACAAAAATCCTCAGCACTGGGCCAATAGGCAACTTCATAATAAATGGAGAAAGGTTGAAATTGTCAACAATTTCATCTTACTTGGATCCACAATTAACACTGTTGGTACCAGTAGCAGGAGATCAGGAGATGTATATATAGCCTTGGGAAAATCTTCTGTCAGGGACCGCTCCAAAGTCCTGAAGAACACGAATGTCCTTTTAAAGACTAAGGTGTGCCTGATTCAAGCCATAGTCTTTGTAATCACTTGTTATGCATCTGAGAGCTGGACAGTGAATAGGATGACAGGAGAAGAGTCAATGCCTTTGAGTTGTGGTATTGAAGAAGAGTGTTGAATATACCATGGATTGGCAAAAGAACAGAGATATATCTTAAAGAAAATGCAACCAGAGTTTTCCTTGAAACAAGGATAATGAGGTTTCATCTAATGTACTTTGGGCATGTTTTTTTTTAAATGCGGAAAGCAATACTTTATATATTTAGAAAAATTACACGATACATTTATAATTTAAGGCTACAATAATTTTCCCATTTTAAATAACAAAAAGGACAAACTAAATGAAAAACGTGACTGCATTTTATTCTTTGGATGGGAACCATCTGTTCGTCTAGAAACATCATAAACAAGTATAAAAGACAAGCAGCCGACTTCAAGAATATATTTAAAAATCATAAAACTGACAAAAGATAAGTGTCCAGAATTTACAGAGAGCTTCTACATGTCAAAATAAAAAAGAAAAATGGCTCAGTGGAAAGATATGAAAATGTAATTCACAATGGGTAAAAATCAGGGCATGTTGTTAAGAGAAGCTATTCCTTGGAGAAGGATGTCATACTTGGAATGATGGAGAAAGAATCCGCCAAAGAGAAGAAGACCCTCAACAAGATGTATTGCTATAAGGTGTGCAGCAGTGAGCTAAAATGTATCAAGGATATTAAGAATGGTGCAGGATTAGGGGAGCTCTGGTGGCCTAGTGGCAAGGAGCTGCAACTACAATCCCAGAGGCGAACGGTTCGAATCCACCAGATGCTCTGCCGGGGAAGGAGAGACAATCTCCTCCTGTACCAGTCAGATCTAATTTGACAGTACACACAAAAAAAAAAATAAAAAAAAAGAATGGTGCAGGATAAGACACAGTTCAGATTTGTTGTTCATAAGGTCCCTATGGTTCGTAATTCAATTCAATGGTGTTTAAAAATAACAAGCACACACCCATGCTTATAGTTTTGTTATTCACAACAGCAAAAAGATGGAAACAACTCAAATGCCCATCAATAAATGAATGGATTAAAAAACTATGGTATATTCACACAATGGAACACTTAAAAATAATGAATTCGTAATACATCACACAACATGAGTGACCCTGTAGGACATTATGCTGAGTGAAATGTCTCAGTTTCAAAAGGGCAAATATTGCATTATACCACTGTTATGAAGCAGGACTGACATGGAGGATTAGGAGGAGAATAAGAAAAGAATGGATAGATCATGAACACTGTATTGGAACAGATGAGGGAGAGAACTGTTTAAAAGGAATGTATGATTAGGCAGTATATGTAAGACAACAGTCCAGAGTAAAAGGTGCATTGCAATGAAGACTAGGGAGAGGGGGGAGGGAAGAAATGAATGAAATTCTATCTTTTCTGTAGATTTTTATTAAAATCACAATTAAAATTAAAAAAATTTTAGAAACGAACAAGCAACAATGAAGATGCTCAGCAGGATTGAGTAGCTGCAACAGCAAGTTTAATGCACAACAGAGATTGTGAGGACCGAACAGAATGGGGCAGAGTTTCATTCTGTTACACACTGGGTCACTGTGTGTCGGAGCTGACTCCAACGCACCCAGCAACAACAAAAATATGATTTTTTTTTTCTTGGACTAACTAACTCCAAGAGAGTGTACAGGTGAAAAACTTACTGAAAATCTGTATGTGTCCAAGGAGTTCTGCATTCTCATATTCAATCCTCACAACTGTTACGTTGTTCATTTTACAAATAATTAGAAGCTCAGAGAGCTTGAATTACTCATATAGACTCATTTACTTGGTTGAAGCAAAAGTCTAATTCAAACCCAGTTTTTTTCGATTCCAAATACCTTATGATTTCTGCTATATCATCCTGCCTTCCAAGTAGGAAGGACAAAACAAATGGGGGGGGGGAGCGCAAACAAATGCTTGTGAGGTAATGGAGAGATTGGAACTCTTATTCACAGCTGATGGGAATGTAAAATGGTACAACCACTATGGAAAGTGGTCTGACACTTTCTCAAAGTTGGAAATAGAAATACTATTTGATCCAGCAATTGCATTACTGAGAATATACCCTAAAGAAACCAGAGCCAGACTCAAACAGATATATACACACCCATGTTTATTGCTGCATTATTCATAATAGCAAAGAGATGGAAGCAAAACAAGTGCTCATCAACAAACAAATGGATAAACTATGGTACATAGACACAATGGAATGCTATGCAGCATTGAACAATGAAATAGTAAAAGATTATACAACATGGGTGACCCTGAATAACATTATGTTCAGTGAAATATCTCAGTCACAAAAGGACAAATCCTGAATGAACACCACAGTTATAAAATAAGACAAGTTTTGAGGTGGTTGGTGAGGGGAATGGAGAAAGAGTGGACAAATAATGAACACTGCATTAGAACAGATGAGGAGAAAAACTGAAAGGAATATATGATTATGCATTATATATGTGTGTGTGTGTGTGTGTGTGTGTATAAATACATACATACATGCAAACAATCTGGAACAAGGAATCCATTACAAGGTGGGCTATGGGGCAGAAGGGGAGAAAATGGGCAACAATGAATTTTTAAAAAGAAAACAACCATATAAAGAGGTTTTTTTAAAGCCCACTCGAGTTTTTTTTTTTGTTTCTTGTCACCAAGAATTTATTGGCATATGGCAAAGCAACTACTTAGTTTGGTTAGGACACATGAAATTCTGAGAACAGTATAAGCAAAGTAACCAAATAAAGTACTTAAAGAAAGGGAAACTAAGAGGACAAGTGTACAGAATCAGTCCCAAAATGTCTGCATATTGATTTGTCTCTGTCACTCTTTCTCCAAACATACTGATGAAATAGAACATAGAGTTGTGTATTATTTAGTAAAAATTCAGTAGCTCTGGTAACCTAGTGGTTAAGGAAGTCCACTGCCAAACCAAAGGCAAATGGTTCGAATCCACCAGATATACAGTGAGAAAAAGATGAGCAGTCACCTCTTGTGTGATTTACAGCCTCTGAAAACTTGCTGGAGGGTTACCTATGAACTGGTTCAGACTTCATGGAAATGACTGACTGATGAAAATTACTAAGCGCTTTCAGTCATGTCTTTTTTTCCTAAGAGTACCGGCATTCTTTGTTTTAGAGCCTTTCTACTGTGTTTTTTACACGTTGACATTTTGTGTCGGCCCTGCACTGAGTGCATTTATTGGTGCCATTTTTCCAACACAATGTGTTGTTTGTGTGTCTATCACATTTTTGGTTATACTTGCAATAGTTCAAACTTTGTCCTGATTTTCTTTCATACTTAGTAGACTTAGTATAACTTCTGTATACACTGGGAAAGCAAAATATTAGTGTGATTTGTTTTATTGCAATATTCATTTCACTACAGTTATCTAGAGACAAACTTAGAGTATCTCTGAGGTGTGTGCATGGTGCTAGGCTTTGTTGGCTTGCTTGATGTTTGTTTTAACAAAGTCATTTACTTGAATTATATATTAAATCGGTTTAACATTCTTCTTTGTGCTCCGTCTTTTCTCCCAAATACAGGCTGTATTGGGCCCTCTGGCTCTGGAAACAGCAAGAAACAGCGCACACCATTTGGAAGGGTACGCACAGGAGGTGATGACATTAGCATTTTTAGCCATTTTAATCACAGCTCCAAATGGTGCTTTACTTATTGGTTTACTGGGGCCCAAAATGCTTGCATCCTGTGATCCAAAACACTACAAAAAGTCTGTTGATACTATATTAATACATCATTAAAAATTTTACGTGCCACCATTTGCCTGGTTCCTTTTTTTTTCCAAATTTTTTTATTGTGCCTTATGTAAAAACTTACAAAAATAGGAAAATTTGTTCTTCCCATTTTTGTACCTGAAGTTTTGGCTGCATTTTCCATATTTTATCAGCACCCTCCTCATTTCCACCTTTGATTCCCAAGTTCCTTTCATCTGGATTGTTTACCTATGTTGTTGTCCTTTTAATGTATGTAAAAAATTGTTCTAAAGAAAGGAGTACTGAGGAGGGGGAGGTAGGTAATTGTGCAACAATGAATTTTTTTAAAGTGAACTGGGGAGGAGAAAAGAAGGGCAAGGGGGTATTATGTGAAACAGTGAATGCATTAGAATCTAACCTCTTTGTAAATGTTCATTAAAATCACAATTAAAATAAAATTAGAATTTAAAATGAAAAAATTAAAATTAAAAAAAGAGCATATTCCTCTTGGGTCAGTTTATGAGGCTAGTTTATGAGGTTAGCTGAAATGTCATCTCTAGGAATATCTTCAGCTTTAAACCAGAAGGATGGACATAGTCTCCTGAGTTCTTTGAGTCTATTAGACCAGTGTCTGGTCACCTTTTTTTGTGTGTGTATGAATTTGATTTTTTTACTCTATTTTTCTCCTACTAGCCAGGAAATTCTATTGTGATGTAACCACAGTGTTGAACATCTGTTATTTTAATAAATTATTTTATAATACAAATAATTTAAAATTATAAATATATGTCAATTGTACATTGAACCATGTTTTATTAAATATGTTATAACACACAACTTACCTGTTATGTAATTCTGAAATTTAATAAAATAGTATTAAATGAAATAATTTCTTAGTTTTTCATATGTCAAAAACAAAGCAGCTCTGTAAATAAATACTCTTTGTTATTGTTGTTGTGTACTTTCAAGTCAGAACCAAGCCATAGCTAACCCTCCACTCTGTTTTCAGAGGCAGTATATCACAGGGGAGGAGATTATTCATCTTGTTTCTGCAGAGCAACTGGTGGATTCAAACTGTGCACCTTTAGGTTGGCAGTGCAATTCTTTACCACTAAGCCACCAGAGTTCCCCTAAAGACTCTGGGATTATTACATAGTCTGTAATGAATGTCATATTCTGAACAGCATTAACAAAAGACCTAATGGCATAAGGAATCTAATGGTCAAGAAAAACTGGCTATCGAACTTGCTTAGATATTCAAGTTTCTTAGTGGAAGAAAACTCTCTCCATCAGTTTTATAATTCAGCTTAAAAGTTCATTTGTTGTGTGCTGTCAAGTTGAAGCTGACCCTCCAATGGACATTCAGAAGCAGTAATTGCACAAGAAGGATAGCGCATCTATGTCCACCAGAGCAGCTGGTGAATTCAAACTGCGTGCCTTTTGAGACTACAGTGCAGCTTCTTACCACTAGGCCACCAGAACTCCTTTAAAAACCACTGGGATGGGGATTTGTTAAGTGCCGTCGAGTTGTAGGCAACTCATAGCGACCCTATGAACGAAAGTCCTCGACACTTGCATGACTTTCATCCTTGTTCCAGGTTCATAGGGTTTCTGGAGGCAAGCTATTTACGGATGTGGATGCCAGTCCTGCTTCCAAGCTTGTTTCAACCAGGAGCTCCACCAAACACTGTCCACTATGGGCAACCATTGTCCCATTTGACACGTCAGTGTCACAGTGTTCAGCTTCACAGTGATCACAGGTTACCTCTGTACAGCAAGTGGACACACCATGGTTATACAACCTAGAAGAATGTTTCACCAAACACAATTATAGACAGGCCTTAGGGCCACCGATTACAGTCACCCACCTTTGGCTTTTGGTCCACTAGGCTAACTGGTCTCTCTCTATGTTGTTAGATGCCATCAAGTCGTAGGCAACTCACAGCGACCCTGTGAAAGAAAGTCCTTGACACTTAACGTGACTTTCATGTTTTCTCCAGGTTCAAAGGGTTTTCGGAGGCAAGCTGTTTATGGAAGTGGATGCCACTCCTGCTTCCAAGGGGGGAGGAGATAAACATAATAAAAATCAAATATCAACTATATAATTAGATCAAATAAATAGATTTTTAAACTCCTGTTTTAGTGACTATCTTAATAAATAATATGCTAGATAAAATAAAGTTGGAGATACTTCTGTAAAACCATTAATGAAGAAGGATTGGCCATCCACTTCCAAAATAGCAGGCCTCTGAAAAACCTATGTACAACAGAACACATGTAGACTAACAGGGCAACTGAGGTGGAGCTTTCACTGTGAGAACCATGAATATAGAAAAATTAGATATTGTTAAGGAAGAAATGGAATGCATAAATATTGACATACTAAGTCTTGGTGAGATGGGGCATTTTGAGTCAGATCATATATATCATATGATGTATTACTCTGGAGATGAAAAGGTAAAGAAAAATGGGTTTGCTTTCACAGTTAAAAAAGTAATTTCTGGATCTGTCTTGAAATGCAGTATTGTGAGTGGCAGGATAATATCCGTACGCATACAAGGAAGTCCAGTGAATACCACTATCATTCAGATATATGCACCAACAACCAGAGCCAAAGAAGAGGAAATATATTTCTACAGAAGCTTTTACAGTCAGAGATTGAACATGCAATCAAGATGCATTAATAATAATGAGTGACTGGAATGCAAAAGTTGAGAACAGAGGAAAATCAGTAGTTAGAAAATATGGACTCGGTGACAGAAATGAAGTTGGAGATAATGATTGATACGTTTAATAAGAAACATAAATGCAAGTTATATACATGGATTTCACCTGCTGGAATGCATAGGAATCAGGCTGATTAATTCTGTGGAAAGAACTTCTGTAGAAACTCAATATCAGCTGTGAAAACTAGGCCAGGAGCTGATTGTGGAAGAGACAACCATCTACTCATATGTAAGTTCAAGCTGATGCTAAGGTAAAATAAATTGAATCCACAGGAACCAAAATATGACCTTAAGTCTATGCCACCTTAATTTGGAATCAGACATGACGAGTAGGAATCCACACAGGAAGTGGTTTGTTCTGTAGGAAAATACAAGTAAAACCTCTCGCGACAGGTAGTAAAGGATCAGGCCCTTTCCATACTTGATCTAATGGATCCTTCCATGCAACCCATATTGGCAGCTCACTAGGAGGTGTATCTGATTGCCAGTGAACACATATGGGAGGGTTTGAAAAGACTTCCCTCATCATATCTTTCCAATCTTGAGAGGTGTTTAAATTAAGACTTAATGAATTAAGCTGTGCCTTTGCTCGCGGAAAACGAACTCCATCATCTCTAACAGCTGCCCTAAGTTCTTTTAACTCTCTCTCAACCCATGGATATCACTGTAGAGGATAGTCAGGTGTGAGATATATGCCAACACGAAACCACATGTGCCTCAGTGTGTCACACTGATCACACAATACCTTGTGTAAAGGACATTCAGGTGTTAGGCACACACTAACAAAGTACATACGTACCTCAGAGTTCCACCAATGTCTCACTGATCACCCGACACGTCAGCCCAAGAATTTCCTGTTTCTTCACTGCTTTCTCTATATTGTCCCCAACTGCTTTCTTTGTTTTCCTCACTTCTCAGGAGACTAGAGAAGAGGTGGTGCTATAATTGTCTCTAAATTTTTTAGGGCTGTTTTAGGTCCCCTGCCATAACAAACAGCTGATGGTGTATTTCTTCTAATGGTGTCACAGTCTTTGTCAAAACCAGTTCTGATTGATCTCCTTTGTCCTTCCCTGTTATTTCCCCCTGATTCATTACGAGGAAGGACACCACATCCTCTTAGTTACCTCCTGCTGGAAAAGGGTGTTGTAGGTCCCAGGTTTGCACATTAAAGATGTGAGCAGCAGTAATCCAAGGGGCAATATCAACAACTGTTGTCCAAAAGGAAGAATCTTGAGATTATGTAAGTTTGACCTCTCTACTTTCTAACAAGGACATTAAACACTTCACTTGAGGATCTTTCAAATTGCTTGCCGAATCTTTTAAATTGATTGCCAAATTACCCAGGCTAAAGCAAGGGAGCGCTTGCCTGATAAGATGGACCTGCATCAGATTCCCTGCTCCCTGACAGGGGCAAGTGCAGAAAGAAGAGAAGAAAGAAAAAGAAAGGATTTTCCCTTGCTTTTTCACCTAAGCAAGGGGTGCTTACCCGATAAGGTAGACCTACGCCAGGTCACTTCCCTTCCACCTTCATCAAGTTTAAGACTACATTAGGTCCCCAAGACTACGTCAGGTTCCCAAGACTATGTCAGGTCCCTAAACCTTCATCACGTCCCCTAAACTACGTCAGGTTCCCATTCCCTGATGGGAATGAGCACAGAAAGAGGTGCTCCCCTGATCCCTGATGGGAGTGAGAGCAGGGAATACTCACCCGAAACCCTGATGGGAGTGGGCACAGAGGGTTCTCACCCAAAAACTTGACAGGAGTGAGCACTGAGGGTACTCGCCCGATACTACATCCTGTTCTGGGCACCATATGTCACTGACCATTCGCAGGCAATGAACAGTGACACCCTGATGGGGGTAAGCACGACAGAGACACACCACTCTAGGAAAGGATCAGAGAGTCAATCCAGCTCAAATTTATTGGGGACTGCAGCACAATTATATATGAACAAGTAAACAGGAAGACAGGATAGGGTGGGCTTACAGATATGGGACATGTGGATTGGCTAGGAGAACCTCTGCTTTGTGTGGACCACTCCCAGCTCAACAGATATAGCAGCTGTCTTCCCAGGTGGCAAGCTTTCTTGAGCCAGTACAGCCAAACACAAGGGAGCTTTCTCTACCCTGTACTAAAGGCCACTGGAGGCTTGCACTTATCCAGAGCTTAGGTGATCTGTCCTGGCCAGAGGCCCTCCCTTCCTCCACAATATTCCCCAAAATAAGCAGGATTTAGAAGACACTGTGGCACTAGGGACATCATTGCTGATAATAGATGGAACCTGGCTGAAAGTAAAAAAATACCAGAAAAATATCTGTTTA